GTGAGGTAATATCTTTTACTGGACCAACTTCTGTTGGTGAAAGAGACATGCTTTCAAGCGCCACAGAGCTCTTCTTCTTCCACTTTGCACAGGTATAACTGGTGACACAAGGTGAAGGGCAGTAGAGACTCAGGTGCCCACAGATACATACTATAACAATACAGTACAATAACTTTAGATGTGAGACAGTCCCCCTGTGCTGTAAACTGCATAGGGCCTCCATTCACAGGAACTCCCCTTTGAAAAGCTTCCTTACTTTAATTAATAATTTTGGACATGAGAAGGATAAAAAGTCTGATCTATTGCTCGCTAAATTCACCAGAATCTCTTCTTTTTCTTCAATAGGCACTGGATCAGACTCTTCATGGTTGCCAAATGGTTGTCACTGTGTCCTTGTTGGACATGATGAAGATCAACCAGAAAAGCTTGTCTCATCCATTATTGTTCTGACTTTGCCTCCTGGATTTCAGGGCACTTTCCTCTCTCCTCTGTCCTAGGCTCAGCTCCATAGAGGCTATAAGATAAACCTTTCCTTGTACAAATCCTGATCCATAGTCAGGAAGAATCTCTAAGGTACATTTTAAAGGTCCCTAGGCACTCCAATGCTGCCTGACTCTGGTATTTATGTGAATATCCACAGAGGAACAGATACAGGGCCAGAGAGAGAGTGAGAGAATGAATGGCTGTGTAGCCTAGTGGTTAGGGCACCCATCTGGGACTTGGGAGGCCCTGGGTCCCCTCCCCCCTGCTCCAACCACTTTTTCATTATTTATTTCCAATGGAATAGCTTCAGCAGGAGAGATTGAGGGGGCTCCACAACAGACTATCCCATAGCTGAGAGGTGGGAGACCCCTGTTCAAATCCTGCCTCGGGGGGCATTGAACTTGGGTCTCCCATATCCCAGGTGAGTGCTCTAAACACTGGTCTAAACATTATAAAGGAGGGCACTACCACCTCCCCCTCCTCCTCTTCTGGCCAAAGCTGCCTGACTCCAGGAGAGTGGCTCCCATTCACGGATCGCTAAAGTGAGATGCCTGTATTTAGGCACCTATCTCCATGATAGGGGTGCGGTTTAGCACTCAACCTGGGTAGCTAACATCTCCCATAGGCTAGCTTAGGCGGCTCTCTGCCTAGCATGCTGGCTTTTTGTGGATTGCATTCTAAGTCACCTCTCTCTCCCCATTCATTGTCAAGGGAGCCTAGCCACCTTGCTCAGGTTTTGTGGCTCACAGTGTTGTTCCTGTGATTTTTCTAGGTGCCTAAAAGTTCAGCGCCGTAATGCTCAGTGTTGCAATGCCTAAGGCCCATGTGGATCTGGGCCTGTGTAATTAAAGACAACCCCTTCTTAATCCTCTAGCAGCAGGTAGATTCACAACAGATGAGCTAAGTACTTTCTCTGCCTGTGGATAGAGAGTCCCCTTTATTCAGATTTTTTTTTCCTTTAACGAAACACCTAGAACCCAATTCATGGTCCCCACTGGAGTGTGGGAGTTTTGCCAGTGGCTCCAATAGAAGCAAGATCTGGCTCTTAAAGCATCTAAGCAACAAACTAGGTTCCTGGGAGAAGGCAGGACCAATGCCATATAGGCCCATTTGGCTATTTTTATATATGTCAGTCTCAGCACTTCCCATCTAAGGGCCCAGTCCTCCTAAGGCCTCCTGAGAAACACTGAACACCTCAAATTATGATATCCAACACATTCTAAAACAGCAAAGGAATTTTAAATCACTCCCTATTATCATCTTTACTGTCTTCCCAGGGCTCAGTGTTACCAGTAAGGAGGAGGATGGCACCTTTTATGAATGGGGAACTGTGGGACAGAGAGATGTAGTGACTTGCCCCAGATCACACAGCGAATCTGTGGCAGAGTCAGGAAACCTGCGTCCAGTGCCTGACTTTCATTTGCAGCCTCCATCAGTGTAAGTGGAGGGAAATATCAGGTTCAATATTAGTCACATTTCTAGAGATGCGTGACCAGGTTTGGCTCATAAACCACTTTCAATCCTAGCCCATGTTAAAAATGGCCCCAAGTAGTGAAACTCTGATCTAAACTCAGATCTGACTAGGAACTTCCCCAAGGCACTCAGGTATTTGATTTTGGTCTTCTAGGTCATCTCAGTATAAAGACAAGTCCAAATTACAAAGTCTGTGAGAAAAGGGATAGCTCCAGTTTTACAAATCCAAAGTTTAGGGATGTTCATAATTAGTGCTCAGCTTCAGCCCATTGGAAAGGTTCTCCAGTTGTGAGGTCTGGATGCAGATCTTAGTGCAAACTTTCCCAAAATACGGAGAGGGTTCAGATCCAGTATTCCAGTTCTTAACCATCTCTAGTACATGTATTAATCACAAAGATCTGGGAAGACAAATCTCCTGCTTAGTAACCAGCAGTAGGGCTTTTTATACTTTCATATACTTCACAGCTACATGTCCCAGTATAAAATGATGCTGTGTTTGCTGATTTCATCCAGAAGCAGAAGCAGCAATGCCGTGAAAAAGGTTACTCTTGTAGCATTCAAGGCTCAGTCAAAACCAGAAAATACTGGAAATCTCCCAAGTCAGCATTGCCCTCTGAAATTTCCAACCTGATTTCCTGAGCAAAAAGGTTTACACAAGCCCCTAAGCGTTCTGTGTGCTTATCCAGAATTATCTTCCAACCTTTAGAGAATCATGACACTCTAGAATTTCCTTATCCTTATTTCTGACTGACAAAGCACAACCAAAGCAGAGGATATAAAAAGTTCCCTTGTGGCATTTAAACATTTCTAATTATAATTCAATTCATTACTATATAACATTGTTCATAAGCAATTTCTCAAAAGATAAAATAAGTGGATTCAGTTTTACAATACTGGATACAGTGACTCACATACAGGAAAGAGGTCAAAACGAGGAATAGAAATGGACCCGAGCAATAAAAGCCAAATCTGTAATTTACATCTTTATCTATACAAGTCTTTCTTCTAAATAAAAAAAACACTCACTTATGGTAATGGTATGGACAACTAGTGTGAAAATGTCTCTGATGGCTATTGGCATTTTTACCAGTACATCAGGAAACCCACCGTGAGCAGGATTAGATGACACAGTGGTAAGAAGATCTGGCAGTCATTGCCATTTTGTCACATTAGTGATCCCAGCACAGCTGCTGCTGGTGGAGCAGCCCTGGAGTCAACAATGATGGGCGATTGTTCAGAAAGAAGGGTAGAATTGTCACAGTGAGGTGTAAGGGAGGCATACAAGAATGAAACAGAATAAGATGAGCAGGGTTTAGCACCAAACATAGGCTAAGGTGAAGTTCAGGAGAAACAGGAAGAGATGTGGCAACTTTGAAGTTTGTGAAAAGGACCTCTGTCTCTTCTACAGTTAGAGGAAGCAGTACACCGTCAATGAGTGACCTTGAATTGTATAGGGTTGGACAGAGAAGAATGTCAAGACTTAAAGAATGGCGTGAAGGAGCAAGGAGAGAGTAGATATGACGATAGAGAACAAGAGAGTACAAGCAAGTCCATGTGATTTCCAAAAAGCATTGAAGCCATTCTGAATTAAATTCAGAAATGGGGATGTAATTCAATGAAGATGACCAAGGAAGGGAATGATACCTAGAACAGGCATCTGGAATTGAAATATGCACATGTTTGTAAAATAAATTTGGCAGCATGTCAAATATTTTAATTTTCAGATTAAAATACACGCTTTTAAAAAGTAAGCAAAAAAGCCAATAGAAATTAAAGGATGTATTCAACTAATTTGTTTGGGGTATAAGTAATAGATGGTGCAAAAGCAAATGTAACTGAAATATAGAGTGTTTATATATATATTCAAAGTACACTACATTTCAGTATGTTGTTTCATATGGAACACTTCTGCAATAATGCCTTTAGACTTGGCTTTGCAAGGTGCTGAGTTCCCTTAACTTCCTTAGTCACTACATAGATAGTCGTCATTACCTTGTAGGATTGGGCCCTACATTTATCATGTCATCACAGATTTTTTTCATATGAAGCTAATTAGTGACATAGCTAAATAACGTCCTGTCATGAGCTCTCTCTAGAGAAATGCTCAGAAGCGCCATGTGTTATTATAGCCACACTGTATTATTTCCAATGGAAATAATGTTGCCAAGATGATAATTAAACTCACATCTTGATTTTGCATGTAACAGTATGTCCAGATAAATTACTTGGGGGAGAATGTGTTCTTCAATTGGACTGGCAGCAAGAATGGTGCATGTGAGACCTTGCAATAAATGGAAGAGGACTCAAAGGTCAAGAAGTGGGGAAACCAGCATTAACAAAGAGTGAATAAAAATTCTTCATTCTCCAGGTCTACTTTACTGTTGCATCCCTTGAGGAAGGGAAGGAGATATTCCCTAGGGGAAAGAAACAAGATAAATGTAGTTTTTCAGGTTATATGCTAGAATTATGATCACTTTCTCATTCATTGAGAGCAGGGGATTTCAGAAGCAGGATTATGAGTTCACTAATATGGGGGCTGCGGGAAGTGGCGGCCATCACATCCCTCGGTCCACCCTGCTTCCCGCAGCCCCCATTGGCTTGGAATGGTGAACTGCGGCCAGTGGGAGCTGCGATCGGCCGAACCTGAAGACGCTGCAGGTAAACAAACCGTCCCGGCCCACCAGCGGATTTCCCTGATTAGCCGCATGCCAAAGGTTGCCAATCCCTGCACTAGGTAATAGAGAACTCTGGCCCCAAATCAGGAAAGCACTTAAGTACCCGTTTAACTTAAAATATCCTTTAAATCCCATTGACTTCAATGAGACCTAAAGCAAGGGTTTAAGAGCTTTCCTGAGTTGGGAGCTTAGTTTTGCTTCCTGTTTAGTTCTGCCCCTCTCCACCATATGGTATATGTTTAGTAGTAAGGTATAATGTAAACTTGAAAAGTCTTGCTTGTTTTTCTCAGGGCATGATTGGTAGGGCTGAAAGAAATATTATGGCTGCATTTTACAGTATTGAGGTGAAAGCAAATTAAATGTCCATGCCTCACTTACCGCCTCCACTTCCGCAGGGTCATACCACACATTAATGTATGGATGCTGTAAGGCTTCATCCACTGATATCCGCTTGGCTGGGTCAATCACCAACATCTTTGACAAAAGGTCCCTGGCTTGGCTGGCTAGAGCAATGAAACCAAAGGAACACAGTGTCAGTACAAAATTACTACATGCAGGCATTGGTTAACTGTTGTAAAAAATAAGTAGGGCAATTTGTTCCCTCCAATTATTCTTCATTTGTATGAAATTCTGCCACTCCTCAATATAGAAAGAGATCCAGATATACACAGAGGATGAATAAAGAGCCAGCACAAGACTTGCACATTACGTAAGTCTCATGTATGCCCTCAAAATGGGTCCAAAAATGCTGATTCGTCAAAACAATTTTTTTTTGTGGGAAAGGGTTGGTTTTGATCAAATTTCAACTCAGAATAACTCTGGAGAAAAAGCTTTTAAATTGTCAAAATATTTTGTTTCTCCATGGACACAAAACATTCTGATTTTCCAGTTCAAAAGGACTTTTCATTTCAAATTTTTAAGCTAATTATATTTTTAAAATATTTTAAAATAAAATGGGTTGAAAGTGACCCAAACTGATTTAATTTCCAGATTTTTGGTTTGAGATTGATTTTTCATCCTGATAAGGGACTGGAAACTTTTTCAAGTCCTCAAAACTCTTTGCTGGATAGCTCTAGTTCCAGCCCTATCCCCTTTCATCTGCCCTGTGGTGGTAGCAGGAAGAAGGGTGTTTTGGGAGTTCCTATACCAGCTATACATCACCAGTGGTTTCCACTTGCATTGAGGCTTTCCTCCTGGGACCAGATACACTAAATCTATAGTCAGAAACTGCCAGCTGTCCAGTGCAAATCAGCCATATTGATGACCCTGAGGATCTGGTGTGTGGACCATGGTTTGGGTTTGCAAGATCCCCTTCATTGGGGTTTTTATTTTAGAAAACCAAACCCAAGAAGAGGAGTAGATCTGGAATCCATTTATTCAAACAACAAAAATGTTCTGGGAGTTTGGATAAAAATTTTTAGTTTTCTCCCATATCTCTTGAGGAGAGGAATATTGAAATTTGACCCCTACCAACAAGTATCTTTTCAAGAGAAGAAACAGAAAGTAGACTCTCCCAGTGTAGCAATATATGGCATTCTTATTGCTTGGACATTCATGACCATAGAGATGCTAGATAACATTGTTGATGAAGGCTCTGTCAAAATACCGATTGTCTTATTCACCCAACTAGTGCTGAAACCAGTGGGTCATATCCTCAGCTGTTGTAAATAAGCATAGCCCCTTTTACACTTGTGTTTGACTTCTATGGAGGTATGCCAATTTACACTGACAGAGCATATGGCCCAGTGCACTTAATCTTATTTGTCAAGAAAGTTGGAATGTGTCCACTATGGTGTTGTAACATGGTTGAATATGGCAAGATTTCAGCAAAAGCTCACAATCTGTGAATTCTCTCCCGCTGATAACTAGCTGAATTTTTCCTATTTATAGCATAGGACCTGAATGGAGGCAGTTGTAGCAGTTGCTATATGATTTACTATTCAGAGTGCCTGGGAACAAATTAGTTGGTAGTGGTAGTGGCAAATGGAATATGATATTTAGCCAAGAGAGCAAAGTAACTCTCTATTCATTCTGACAGGAGTTTGAATAATCATCAGATGGAAGTTCATGTTGATGTCTGACTGGGCAAGTATCCAACAACGAAACAACCCCTAGTACCATATGATGGTCTATATGAAGTACAAGCCAAAACCTCTAATCTGGGACCAGAGCCCATAGTATTCTGGATTCATAGCAAATATGCTGCCAATCAACCCACAAACTGATTTTTGTTCTTATCCTAGTATTGGTTTTTTCCCCCCCACTGTTAATAAATTCACTGCAATCTTTTTTTTAAAGTTAACCAGATCATTTACTGCTAATAGTACTGCACATATAATAAAAATGCTTTCTTGTTTGAAACCATTTACTATTATCTTGTTTTTTATACCATTTGAAGTGGACCTCTGATAGAAAACAAAGAACAAAACAAAAATAGATCAGTAACTACAAAAACACAACCCCTTCACTAAATGTATCTTATGTACCCCAGCGCACACACTATAAAGGTGACATCAAAGTGACTAGATAACATTATTTATTGTACTTTTTTAGACAGGTACAAAGATTCGGGATGTAAAAGTAAAGTTTTTTTAAGACAGAGGAACCAAACAAGAAATAATCTTAAAAACAGACATTCACTCCATGCTTAAATAAAAGTGTGCTTCCTTTATCCAGGAGATAATTAGTTAACACCGTTTGGTCATTATTCCCTTTGCATTAGCCCTAAATCCAATGAAAGACCACTATTCATTTTCATTGTAGGAGTACAGAAAAGAACTCAATGCATCCAAAAGCATTTACTCAGACCTTTCACTTTGCTCCCAGATCTCGGACAACAGCCTTGCTATGAAACAGTTGTTAACTGGAAGAGCATTCTGGGTAATGTAATGACATGCAAATTGTAGGTGATTAAGAAACATTATGTGTCACTGCAGCAAGCAACAAGAGGAACCCATGTGTGCAAAATTGATGCACACTGGAAGTTTGAAAAGGTTCCAAAGCTGTGACTAGAAATCCTTTTTATACTCAACACACATTAATCATTGTTTCTTATTGAAGGTCAACATCCTGTTCAAGTTAATCATGGCTTCAATTTATGACTATAACCATCTTACCACATGCCACTGCATATATTGTACAATGGAAATATGTAACCCCACTGTAATTAAGATATCATTCTGCTTCACATACCAAAACCCAGTTGCTCCATTTTTCATAGTCACAAAGCCACTTACAGGCAGATATTAAACTGTAACTACATCAAGAGCAATTTTAGCTGGTGGCATTGATTCTTTTACTTTTCTTAGTAAAGACACCATCGCTTTTGTAGTCAGGGCTCTGGCTGCATTGACAGTTCTTTCTTTACAACAAAAGAAAATTTAATGCCACTTTGAGATCTTCAAAGAAGACTTTTTGGGCTCCAGTGTGTCAGAAAGAAATTAATAAAAATTCAGGATGTCCAAACTTGTTTATGGTACTATCGGAGTGCATAGCTGTACAGAATGAGTGCCATGAATCTGACATGCTTGACGTATTAGTCAATGACAACATATGTACCCTAGAGGCCTGGCTGCCCTAGCACCACATTTCCCTCAAAATCATATTTAGAACTAACTCCTTGCTAGATAAAACCAATGCAAGTGTCTTGGTCATTATAGCACCTGAATCTGATCTGATAAATAAACCCCACAATGTTTTCATGAAAACATCAACTGGCTAAAACATTTTACTTTTTCTTTCTTTACCACCCCGCCTTTAGATCTCAAGCACTTTTTCTTTTTCTCCTATCAGAGAACAGTTTTCAATAAACACATGGATGGAGCCTAACTTTGCAGACATTAAAAGTGCTTTGAAGATCTCAAAGTAGCATTAAATTTTCTTTCTAGTATCTTTTTTTACATCAATGACTCTCCCTCATCTTAGCAATGAGAAAAAAAATTATGACCCATTATATGAAACGTGTTTCAAAGTACATTAAAAATCAATTCATCTCAGATGGAGAAAAAATACTTTTGTATTGCACTTGCTCATACATGCCCCCCGCTCCCTCCTTGGACATACCTTTGAGTTTGTTGTGTTCTGAGTCGGCTGGGAAGAGAGAGTCTGGGAAAAGTTTGGGGAAAGTGAGACCAGCATACTTAGGTCGGTTCTCAACGTAGTTCCGCACCGTGGGTTGTAGCTTCTTCATGAATTCTGGGCATGGTGTTCCCAGCTGCTCAATTACTTTATTCCACTGGTCAATATCTGAGGAAAGGTAGTTAAGGGAAAAAATGTGCAGCCTACTAGCTTTTTTGTTTGGTTGGTTGGTTTTTAGCAACCCATAAAGGTACTTAATTCCCTCCCAAGATACTTTTCAATCAATGTCTTGGTTCATCATCATGACGTGAAGCTTTATAAGCCATAACAGGTGAGACATTTATAGCACCTAGCTTACTGGTGGACACTGCACAAACAAATATTAATAATAATAGCTGGACACTCTCTCCCTGTTGGTCATGGATGCTAGTCTATTTCTGTTTTTAAATCCTAGCTTAATGGCTACTGTCTCTTACACCTGTGCAACCCCATAGACATCAGTAGGGCTACATGGGTGTAACAAATCTTATTTGTTCAGCTGGGCATATCAGTCATAACTGTCACATTGTAGTGGTACTCAGTGGAGTGAAAAGAGTTCTGCAAGGGGAGAAGTTACCCCTAACTTGTTTTCTCCTTTCTTCATGAGCGATCAATAATTTGTGAAGGACATTTTATTTGGGAATAAACATGTTATGTGACAGAAAAGACATTTGCCAGAAGTTCCTGGAGATGCATACATAAATGCTGCATACTTGCATCTCTATTCTTCCCAGCCATTTATCAGTTCCTAGTTTTATAAAAACAACAAAAACTATTTGGCAAATTGTTGTAAAAATGTAATGTGTTTTTTTGACTGTTCACCATTTCCTCTAACAAATATTTTCTATCGGTACACAACGTACCAGTTATGCACAAATATTTCTTTTGTTTTCCACAAACATGACAACAAACAAGAAACAGTTGTTATGCCTTCATCATGAATGCTAGCTTCCACATGCTTTCATACTCAACCAAGAAACTCTCTCTCTTTCAACAGGCAACTCTTTTAGCTTTCCTGGAGTACCAATGAGCATATCTGCTGAATGATTTGTCACACTTCTAGACATGTTCAGAATATGCCCTGCTGTGTCAAACAACAACAAAAAAAGGGGAGGCAATGTTTGATCAAGGATATTGCCTTTAAAACCAGTCCCACCTCCCCATCATAGTCCCTGCATTCATCAGGCTAAGGATTTGAAGAACATGTGAGATAATATACAAATAGACACAGTGATGCACATGTTTCTACCAAGAGACTGTCACAAGCATATAGCTAAGGAAGCCTCATGAGAACCCATTAGAAAGAGAACATTCATTTTAGAAAGTCTATTTCTGATGCAGCACCGTATGAAGATAAACAATTAACAATAATGAAAACAAGGTTATTTACAGTAGTGCCCACTCTGTGCTAAAAGATTTCCAAACACTCAAAAAGAACAGCCCCCACTGTGAGGAGCTCACAATCTAAGGGCAGAAAAGTGGCCAGAGGAAAGGGAATAACAGTAGACAAAATATATACAATTCGCATTAGAGGTGGCTGAAAAACTGAAACATTTGGGGTTTGAAGTTTCCATGAAAAATGTCTCCTTTTGTTGTCAGAAAATTTTAAAATTCAATTTTTTTCAACCAACTGGTTAAAAAGTGGGATGAATTTTTCATTAAAATTTTGTCCCCCATTTTCACTGGAAAATGTAGAAATTCAAAAATTTTGGACCATCTCTAATTTGTATACAAGTCAACATGATTCACTGTAGGTTGCATGGCAGAAGTGAGTCTTTAAGAGGGCTTTAAATATGGGCTTTGCATATAAACTCATGGAGGTTGCACTATGTATAGAAAACATGAAGATAGCTGTGTGATGAGGTTGTACCATGTGAGATCACATGAAAGAGGGCACAGAAATGAAAGTGTGAGCAACTAAAATGGGTAGACAAGGATTGGAACACTGATGGAGCAGAAGGCATGGAGACAACATGAAGCTTGATGAGGAAAGATATGTAGGAGGGGCCAAGTTATGCAGAACTCTGAAGGTGGTGGGAAGATGCTTACATTTGATTTGACAGCCGATGAAAAGCCAATGGGAAGTATGCAAAGAGAGGAAGAGTTATATAAGAAAATTGATGAGCAAAGGAAGGGAGCTTAGTGACTGCATTGTGTATGAACTGGTGGGGTCAATGTGTGTATTTGAGAGGCCAGTAATCAAGGCAGGACATAATAAGGGCCTGAATGAAAGATATGGCTGTGAAGATGGAAAAAACAGGATGGATTTTGGAGACACTGAGGAGGAAGATATGTTAGGATTTGGATGTCTGGGTCATGAGAGAGGTTTGTGGGCAGGGAAGATGGGGGTGATGTTGACAGTGACTGAGAAGGGGGAAGTAGAGAATGTTAGGGAGGGAAGTTCTGTTCCGCATGCGTTCAATCTAAGCTGACAACAAGACATCTGAGAGGAGATGGAAGAGAGACAAGCTGAGATGCGGGATTGGATGGAAGGAGACAGTTTAGTGATGGAGAGAGAGATTTGTGAGTCATCAACATAGAGATGATAGTTGATGACATTACCCACGGAGAGGAGTAAAGTTAGCGAAAGATGAAAGACAAACCCTGGCCAATCCCACTGAGAGTGGGAAAGGGGAAGAAGGGCCATTACTTATAATCTCCTAAATGGTGTTGTGTGTATGCCGTAACTTCCAGCACGGCTCTCATTTTCGTGGTCAGTTAATTGCTTTTGTTTATGTCATCTTGGAAACTCATCTACCATAGAACTCAGGAGTACTATTTCCAAACTTCTGAGAAGCTTTGGGGACAGAAATAGGTCTCCTACTAACTAAATCACTGAATGTTCAAAGTAATGCAGCCACACCCCCAAAATCAATATAATTATCTAAGTTACATCATCATGAGGTACCGTCTTGCCTGTTTTTAACTTCTCTTACAAGTTCAGGGTTTGCTTGTTTTTTATATGAATGATTGCTCTTTGTCTGCATCTTACTTCTGGACTAATGCTAGGCAAATTCTACAAAAAATTATTTGTCAACATTTGGTTAAGTAAAAATAATAATTATAGTTTGAAAAAATTCAATAGCCCTTTTACTTTGCTTCCTGTGAGCATTCAGATAATGAAACTTTTGTTGATAAACATTTTAATGAAAAGAGAATGTATTGCAAATACATATTCATGCCAGTTTTCACATAAGTATTCACACTGGCCAGCTAGAAAGCTCTCTGTAAGTTTGGGAGTCATTCACATTAAGGGACATTTCCTGTTTGTTCATTATTCAAAATCATTGCTACATGCAAAAATATTTCAGCTCATCAATTATTTGTGAACTATTCACTCACCTTTCATAAGTTACTATTCTCCTTGTGGACTGGAGAGTTATCACATAGTACTGGTTCTGTTCTCTGACTTGATGATTCCCAAACTCATAAGGGAACTTTCATGATAACTGCTGAACACTTAACACGTCTAATTTATACTTTTAGGAGTTGGATTTTGTGTTGGTCAATTGATTTTATAGCCTTGCCAAAAATGAAGCTAAGTTAGTAGGTGAACCGAAAGGCTTCTCCTGGAAAGATAACATAATTTAGAGGGAGACCCTGCTGAAATACCTAGGTACAGGAGTTGCTTTGAAGATGACACATGGTAGGTATATACCACACAACAAAACAATTAATCCATACATTAAGTGTCAAAAAAATCATATCAGGCGATGGAGGCAAAGGAAAGAAAATCTTTTCCAGGCATATTTTCATTTCAACACCAGATTTGCCGATAAAACTTTGCCTTTTTTGTGTACATTTGCTTAAATATATTTGGCAAAATAAGGGGTAACAAAACTACTACTACTAAGTATAATCACCACAGCCAGAGGTTATGGGTCTATTCCAGGCATGGGTGGGTGAGGTTGTGTGTCCTGAGATGTGCATAATGATCCCTTCTGGTCTTTAAAGTCTCTGACTACATGAAATGAACTGAAGTGGGTGTGATTTTCGTTTTGCAAAATTCAACCCTACAACCAGTGGCAGTTCACATTCAGGTTTGCCCAAACTTGCAAAATCCAGAAGAGAGAAATCACAAATGTTACTATGAAGAATATGGTCTAGCATAGGTGGAGATGAACTTTTCAGAAACAGACCTCTAAGTATAGATGCTATCAAATGAAATGTATCATGGAGCAGAATATGTCCTCAATTGAACAATCCATTTTACATGAGAAAACCGAGCCTCTTAAATTAATTCTGCCATCATAACCTACAAAACAAAGTATTCTAGCCCTGGGGTGAAGCCATTGTAGGCAGCTATGCCTACTCAAGCTGGAATAAATCTCACCATAATTAAAACAGTATGCAAATTAAATTAGAATTGATTGGGAATTTTATGATAAATTTTTTCCATCTGAAAATGTCAATTCATCAAAATTGAAACTGTTCCTAGGAAAGGTTTGGTTCTGATAAATTTCTTGATTAGAAATATTTTTGGAAAAATAATAATTTTCAAAGTGAAGTTTCATTTTTCAGTTCAAAATGACATTTCATTTTTAAAATAGTTAATTTATAGTAAAACCGGTTTAAAGGCTTAAAAAATGTTGAATCTCAAATGAACTATTTTGAAATTACTGAAATAAAAATGTTTCAGCTGACCCAATCTGGATTTTTTAAATACGATTTTTATCCTGATTCATGATAGGAAAAATTTAAAATTTTTGAAATTTCATAGGATGGAAAACCTGTTTCCTGCCCTGCTCTAATAAATACAGCAGAGGCCAATATACTGGACTCATGACATAGAGAGGGGAGGCATTGCTGTCCAGTTATTGGAACAGGAGACCAGGAGTCAAAACACGAGTTCTACTTCCATTCCCACCACAGTCTTACTATATGAACTTGAACCACCTACTTCAGTTCTTTGTACTTCAATTTACCTATCTGTAACATGATTACAGGAGTGCAGTGAGGCTTAATGAATTGTTTTAAAAAATTAATCCAAAAAACTGAGCTCCTCATATGAAAAGGGCTTTCTACATGTAAAGTACTGCTATTACTATATGTAATAAACATTTTTAATACCTAACTTTTAAATCCATAACAATGTACTGATTAGGAGTTGTTTTTGTAGTGGATATAAT